CGGAATTCTCTCATCACTTCTTTCCTTAAACAAGTTCGTAAGTTAAGAAGTATTATGAGTCACAATTAAGAACACTGTGAGCTCAAATCCAAGTACCTCAGACAGTAAAACAAAGCTGGAGCAGCAGTAACACAACATTTTGGGAAGTAACCTCACACCCCCTTGTTTATCATCAGATCTCATTTACTTTTTCAAGTATCAGGTATTCCCGAGAATAAATGTGAAAGCAAAGCTTCCCTATCAGGAGAAAGCTGTACACATATTGTAGCACTCATGATGAAATACATTATACATATGCAAAGACACAAATAAATGCATATATCTGCAAGTAACCAGAAATATTGCCATCCTGATTTATATATAAATTGTATCTTTAACAAGACTTGACTTGCTTAGAAATGAGAGGAACTGCTAGACCCTCAGGACTGGCAAGTTTAATACACAAAGAGGTGATAAGGAAGTAACATTTCATTAACTCACTTTGAGAAAAAAATACCATAAATACTACTGAAAAATGTAGAATTAAGTGAAATTAATAAGTAGAATGAAGTGAAGTTTTAATGATAAGATCTCTGTTACACTTTTCAAAATCAGACATTAATCCCATCAAAATAACCAGATAATTAATGCAAATCCTAACACACTTGCTCCAAGAAGTCTTTATAACCAAGGAAAACATATTCATAATTTATATGTTATAGACATAGTATCCTTCAATGCTTGTTTTGAATTACAAGTTTCTCATAGAAAGAGCAGAGTCAATTTATATAAAATAAACAAATGTTAAGCTTTCAGAGACACTACTGCACTTTTAAATACATCACAATTCAATGACTTCCTATCTTACCTGCAGCACAGAAAGCTTTTTCTCACAGTCAGGTTGCTTGCCTGACCCATCCATGCCCACCCTGATGTAAAACATCACCTAAGGAGCAGCACTGCTTAAGAAGAAACTTGCAGTCAGTGCCAACACACGTCTGCCATGTCCTACAGATGAAGAAGGATCACTGCTCCAGTCACATTTAAGGCATCACACTTGGAGATGACACTTGCAGGATCATTCATTATTATTTTACTTTCTACGTGTGTCTCAAAACTAATGAAATCTTTAATATACTTGTAGTGCTTGCAGTCCATCACAGCAATTCAGGGATTTAATTATCAATTACTTTAGAGTCAGTTTTATGAGTATTAGCATTATAAATGTGCCAAACCACCCAGCTTATCAGTGCTGCTTAAGCAAACCGCTACATTATGAACGGCATGGCATAGCGGAATAAAATCCTCATTATAAGGCATTGCTTCTGTCCTCGATACCATGCCATGGCAGTTTCAGTTTAAAAGCCTCCGTGGTACCTCACACTTTGTCATGGGGTGGCAACTGGTTAGATCCTCCTGCTTCCATTACCCCAGGGCAAGACTGAAATCGCTAGGATTAGAAACTGGATTAAAAGCTCAGGATCAAGCTGCAAGACATGCTGATTAGCAGTCCAGAATGCAGGACTGGTATCCTTGACATAAAAATATCTCCTAGTCCCCAGCTGCTTTTGCTGCAGTCAGACAAGCCCTCACACCCCACAACATGCATGAGCAAAGAGCCTACCAGCACTGCTTCCAGTATGCTGGCCATATGCTCATGTATTTTATTTGCTTATATCTGTAACTATGACTCTGTTGAAGGTATGATTAATCCTGTTTCACAAATAAACAGTTCTGGAGAACAAGCCTTAAGAGGAGCGGCTGAGGGGACTGGGGTTGTTTAGCCTGGAGAAGAGGAGGCTGAGGGGAGACCTTATCACTCTCTACAACTACCTGAAAGGAGGGTGTAGTGAGGCAGGTGAGTGTCTTTTCTCCCAGGTAACTAGTGACAGAACGAGAGGAAACGGCCTCAAGTTGCACCAAGGGAGGTACAGATTAGATGTCAGGAAACATTTCTTCACGGAAAGGGTTCTCGGGCACTGGAAGGGGCTGCCTGGGGAGGTGGTTGAGTCACCATCCCTGGAGGTGTTTAAAAGACGGGTAGATGAGGTGCTCAGAGATATGGTTTAGTAGTGGATAGGTACAGTTGGGCTCAATGATCTCAAAGGTCTTTTCCAACCAAACAATTCTATGATTCTACGATTCTATAATATTGCATCAAAACCAATAATGCAGTTTAAAGTTTAATACCACAACTAACTGCCAAATCAAGGGAAAGTGGTTGACAGAAAGCTGAAAATCATGTCAGGTGCCTTAAAACGATTGGCTAGATGGTGCCTGATCCTGCTCAGAGCCCCACCGGTCAGCTTCACACCAGCTGTGGTATGCCAGGGGTTGCTGTCCCATCCAGCCCCTCTGTGGCAACCAGGGACTCATCTCTGGTCTGAGTTTGTGCACCAGCATGGACACACCCACAGGAACCAGTTCTCTGCTGCCCTTCCACTCCTACACCAGTCTTGTCCTGTCTGCTATCACTTGAGCCTCTTTCATGAGCAATTTGTTCCTCTCAAAAGAAATTATTGAAGACGAAAAGACTGGTATGCTGACTTACAAAGTTATACATTGCTGAGAGAAAGATCATTTGAGGTATACAAGGAAAAATGCTTTATACAAGGAAAAGGTGATTATAAGCCAATCTTGAATGGATAGTTGGGAAATAAAATGCCAAAAAGAAAAGAATATAAAGTAACTAATATAAGGCACCAGAAACACATGACAGATCAATATGGGGAGGCACTGAATCAACAGAGAGCAATGGGAAATACTCTGCAACAGAATACCATGTTACAGAAAAATTAAACATGTTCTTCATCTCGCAAAGAAAACAGAAGGTGAGATGCCAGAAGTGAAAACAATGTGTCCTGGGGTGGACACTAAAAAACTAGAGACATTAGCAACCTCTCCAGAACAAGTCTTGGGTAATATGAAATCAATAAAAACAGTTAGAGCCTGAAGAACAGATGAGACACACTTCAGGATCCCAAAAGAGATGGCAGACAGATTATTGGGCTACCATGAGGTATCTTTAATAGCATCTTTGAAACAGCAAGGTATCAATAGACTAGAGAGAAATAAACAAAATAACAGTCATAGGAAAGAAATTACGGAAAGGTACGAATTAAATTTTACCTCCAAAGCAGACAAGATCCAAGAAATAATCAGTGATAAGATCAAAAGAACCCAACTTTTGAGAAATAGGACAACTTTAGGAAATAGGAACTTTAGTGGAATAAGAATCACATTAACAGCTACTGCAATTTGCTCATGTATACTTCACTTTCACTGGTATTTTTAAAGTCAGGATTACAGGCAACAAATAGGACTGATACACTGATACTGTTTAAATTTAGAATGTCAGATATTATAGGAAGACAGTAAATTAATACATACAAGTTCCTATACAGATAAAAAATAGCTAAGGAAAAGACATATCTGCAGTCATCAATGATGTGGGATAATTAAGCTGAATGAATAAAAGTCAAGGCAACATTCAGTTCTGAGGATCAGAAAAAGACAGTGGAATTGTTAATAGGTCCTGCTGATATATCCTCTCATAGCTATGTCCCAGACTTGCTCCTGTTACATAACAGCTTACCCTACTCATACCCTGAACTTTCAGCATCTTGCAGTTCTATTTAAATTGAAAATATGATACAATCTCTCTCTGTACCTGTATTCCCATGTTCAGTACTGACTGAACTCAATGTACAGGGCTGAACTGGTATTTACTGCCCAGCATACAAGCCTGGAGTGCCTCAAAAGTCACACACAGCTGAGCTTATTCAGCTCCTGATAATGGCATCAATGTAGATAAACTCCAGGTGCAAGGTCAAATGGTAAAGGATAGTGGCAAGAGGCACTGTGTTATAGAGAGCCTTGGTTTTCTGATAAGCCCTAAATCCTGGCAACCTATACTACTGACTGGTAGTGTTCTCTCAGGTTAAGTCAAGGCACTCTGACCCACTTCCATTCCACCTCTAAATCTCTTCTGCAGCCTAGTATGGAGAAAGGAATACTGGGGAGAAAGAGTAATAGTTTTCAAATAACAGCAAAGAGGAGAAGACCCCACATCCGCTCCAGATACAAAAGGAAGTAAATTGCAACTAAAGGGATTAGGCAAAACACTAGGGAAAACTTTTAACTTGAAAGAAGTTAACACATTGGAGCAGCCTGCCTTAAGAGTTTAAATAAACATTTATCAGAAGGAATCCTGTCCCAGGGCAAGAGGAGGGACCATATGACCCCAAGTCATTACTTAACTTTATCCCTTATGACTATGTTTTAAAAATCTCTGCAGACTTGTAGGTTTTTAAAACAGCTGCTATGTTTCATGCTGGCAATGACTGATTTTCAGTTGTCTCTGAACTTGCTGCTGCGTAAATGCATGTTGTTGAAACCACCAAGTTTTTCCAGGCTAACAAAGACTGTCCTGTAGAAGTAATTATTATCTCTGTGTTGCGGCATCGCACACTTCTCCTTCTGACTCTTCTCTTGCTTTTCCCTTCCCTCTGATTCTGCCCAGGGTCATGCTGAGCTGTGCAGTAGCTGGGAAGAACAAGGTGTTTTAAATGGTGTCTCCAAAGAAGTGTATACCAGGGCTTTAGAGAATCAGGGTCTCTGCTGCCAGGCTTTCAGAGCACAATATGGTGGGGAATGACATTTTCAGATTGAACAACAGGGTCTTCCTGATGGAAGAAAATGGCACATTATCTTCTGCAGGACAAAAGCAAGGACTTTTCAGGCATTTACAAGGAAGAGGACGAAAAAAAAAAAAGCACAATGAGAATTATTACCTAAATTGATTCTCCTTCTTTGGCAATGACCTGTTAAACAACCTTTGTGCACGTCCCAGGCTCCCTAGTCAGCCTTGCCTCAGGACAAAAAGACACACCTCAAATAATGCTGTTGGAGCTTTGTAGTATCAGGTCAAGATGTTGCTCATTTTATGGTATTTCTGTCTGAAAAAAACAATCTTACTGGTGACTACACTCAAAGGAAAGGAAAGAAAGTTCATACTTTACCTGAAGCATCAGGATGATAGAGGCTGGGAGCACTTGTTATTTCTCCTTGCTGATGGAGACAGCTACCTGAGGATCTTTGACTTGCAATGAGAATCCTGCTTTTTGCAGATGGTAACCTGGACACTGCACCCAGTCCTAACTGTGGCTTGAGTATCATGGCGGATCGATAAAAACTTGGTGGGACCTCGTAGTGAGTATATGGTGGAGGGCAAAATTCATCTTTTGCAGGCCTTTCCCCAGCCTACAGAAAAATCATCAACAGAGATATGATACAATAAATCAATAAACCCAGAGAACATGGAGCTCGAAATTGCTTATGAAGGGAAGTTTTCCCTCCTTGTGAATCTGCACTTCAGAGCACTGCAGAGTGATCATCACTTTCAAAAACTGATGGTTTCAACATGTAAACTGCTCTCTACAAATACACACATTACAGTCTCAAAACCCAACCAAACCCAAATAAAGAACTGATCTCTTCCAAAAAAGAAAACAGACAAAAGGAAGATCTTCAATTAGTGAAAATTAATTTACTTTTAAGACCTGAAAGGTGATACTATTTACAGAGGTAGATACACCAAGAGAGTGTGTAAATGGAACTTTTACTATGTTATTTTAAATATTCTTACTAAGATACAATTTTGGGGGAAGTTGGTTTTAGCTTAGATAGTTAAAGTAAAGCTGAAGGTATTTTAAATTAATTCATCAAAGAAATGGTATTGTCAAATCATTTGTGTGAGAAAAAAAACTCTAAATGTTCTTACTGCAAAATGTAATCTGTGCCTCTGAAGTTCCTGAAAAGAGACCTGATTGTGGAGGTGGGCACATTTCTATATGTTACATTTTCAGGGGATTTTTGAATATTCCAAATCAAAGCTTTAAAACCCAGCTGCCCATTTGAACTGGAGAAAAAAAGGCGAATCTGTAGATGTGAAACATTTATTGTTTATCACAAAATAGATGATGCTTTGCTAGAATCAGAGACAAATCTCTCGGTATTTTAATGGGTGTTTACGGGGAGGGCAGCACAGTAAGGCCCAAGCTGGAAATGTTTCCAGCAAACTGGCTGTCACCAGAGAATTTGCACTGAGAGAATGACCCAGTTCCCCAATTCAGCCCTTGCATTTTTCTACACTCAAGCTGGGCTCTGACTCCCACCTCGCCATGCTGCCTTGTCACTCAGGACACAGGCTCAGAGCAATGTCAGTAGCTTTCATCTCTCTCATTTACAAAGAACTATTTGCTTGTCAAGGTAGAGTCCAACTTCTTTACTATTTTCTTATAAATTGTAAAATCATCATAATCTAGAAAGGACCCATGAATATTTTTTCAGTGCATCCCATTTACACAAGAGAGAAAAAACGGCTTAGGAAATAGGAAATCTGAACTAAAGTTGTTTAAAAATTAATCAAAAAAGTGCCATAGGCTACCTAGGAAGAAATGTAACTGCCAATTAATTAACTCTACTGTAAGTTATGATGCATATAATATGCCAAATCAATTTCTATTTAGCAATTATAAGCATTTAGAATATGCACTTCAACATTGGCTATAAAAGCTTTGATCCTAGCTGCTTCAAGAGCTTTAATCCTAATTTAGCAAATCTTTAATATACTAAAAGAGACAAGATTGGCCTTAAACTATTAAATATAGAATTTTGAGGCCTTTGCACTGGAACTGGGAGGGCAGATGTAACAAACACTGAGCATTATAACTTCGCTCTATATTTTTTCCTTTGTTTGCAGTCCTATTTCTTGCCATTAGATCTTTCTGTTTCCTTCTTCATTATACTCCTATGACCTATTTCTACAAGTTAGAATGCAGGTTTTTACTGTATAGATGGTTCTCTAGGCTTGGACTGCAGTAGATGTTTAGCTGCTTATTTTCAGCTTCTGGATATGAGATTGTTTGCCTGGATAAGATTTGGTTATCTTTTCTCTCCCTGATTAATTTATTTCAATCAGAATTCACTATATACTTCCTATAATTTCATATTTAACTGGTACTGAACATACCAATGACAAGCACTTCAGTATAAGGAATAGAGAAAATATTTAAATATAGAAACCATGCATTTTTTATAAACTGGGTCAGCTTAGCCAAACCTTCAGTCACCTAATTTTTTTCTTTATTGACAGTATGCTATGAATAACACAGAAGAGCAACAAACATGCACACAAAAACAATCAGTCACAAGCATAAAACCTCTCAAGCTGAGTAAAGTGAGAAGGATTTACCCAACTATCTCTTGAAGAGACCAATTTTGGGGGACATAAACTTGCTATGAAGACACATTCCTTTTTCTTTTTGATTTAACGATGAATTCATGAAGTGTATAATTCAACTTGTCTCTACAGAATCACATGCAATTATTGATTATTGAGACCATTTTAAAGATCTTCAGAATGATTTGGATTAATATGAGACCTGTCAACATCCTGTACTAGAGTTTTGTACGTGGGACTTCTAAAGAAATGATCTGTCGCAGCCTGTCAAATAAAAAGAAGCTCAGCTCAGAGTTTTATTGTGTGTGGCTGGCTGCTCATTTCCCACTCCTCTCACTTAATGAATTTGTTAGAAAGAGCTAGAAAGTCTGCAGCAAATACTTGGAGTATACAAGAATTTCCAGAGGCTGGGTAATCCTGAGCAGAGCTGGCAGCACGGCCAGCAGGTAAGAATGCCCAACACTTTCCTTCATGTTACTTGGTTTATAACACTGTCAAACATTAATGCCTCAAGCAAGAATCTTCTTGTCAAGTGCCTGCTTCAGGCAACTCTTTGGGAAAAGAGTTGTCAACATCAGTTCAGGCAGTTCAGGTAACAAGATTAGAGGTTGTATAAAACAACTCCCCCTGCCCCTTTTTCCACTACAGGGCTTTCATTTCAACAGATGTAATCCATGCTCTCCAGAGCAGAAGGATGTCTGTGGGGAAACGACACAAGGAGGTGGTTGAACATGACAGGCACAGTCTTGGGGAGGCAGGCAGGAGAGCTGGTGATGAACAGACCTCCTTACAGACCCCCACCAGAACCATGACTCTTGGCAGTAGCCATGAAGTGAATAAAGTGAATAAAGTGAATAAAGTGAGACAAGCACCACTCTCTGACAAGGCATGGACTATATCAATATGGCTAAACATTCACTCTGCAGACCAGGTTGGTCTCATCCATGCTGGTCCTTTGGAACAGACTCTGGGTGAGCACACGCTGGCAGAGGTGGACACTGAGCTGGGGAGTGTGCTCCCAGTCCATCAGTATGGACAACCTTGCATGAGCCTTGAAGGGCACGCTCTCCCACTGTTCAGTTCACTAGCACAGCTACCGCCTTTGTGTCCCACAGTTTGCTCTGTTACTTCCCACAGAAGTTACTGGGAACACAGAGTGGTCACAAATTCCCACTGGTCCTGACTAGAAGAAGTTGAGGTCCACACTGAGATGAGGAGCCTATGCTGTGATGAAGCATGTGGACAGCAGCAATCTGCCTTGGGCAATGACTGTTTGTTTTCAGCAGTTCACTTTGAGGGGTTTTGTACCACTTTTTTTAGACAAAGACAGGCATGAAAGATCTACCTCCATACCATGCCAAGGTTCCAAAGAAAAGCACTTGAGGAGCTGCCAATGCCGCAGGCAAGGCTGCCCATTTAACCTTAACTGAATTCCATTACGGACGCAGTCCCTAAGCACAGCTGGACTGCCTTCACACCTGAGCTGGGATCTTTGTCTGAGCTGCCCTACGTGGGCTTTAGTGCAGGCAGCTCAAGGAGCTCTGCAGGCTCCCCACTGCATGAAGGTAGCCCCTTGAGTCTTCCTCAGAGAGCTCTCCAGGCCTTGCCTTGGAGTCTCCTGCCCAAAGACAGTACCTTCCTGTTTTTTCTAGTTCACAGCACCCAGAGTTGTATGTAATTGTTCCTGCCATTTAGCTAGCTGAACGGTACTTAGAGATTACAGGTCTGATTGATAGCAGCTATTAACACTCCCTGTCATAGCTATGTAAAGAGCTATAAAATGCTAATCAAAGCTCTCCAAAGCCCAAACTGGATGTGTGAAATAGGGTAATCTGGGATTTTTTCTCTCACAAAGACAGTAGCTGTCCTGCCCCACCATCTCCTTGTCTCCAAAATCTCTGAGTCTTCAACACTGTGCCTTCACCAGGGTGATCTTGATCTACCTCAATCCATTCTAACTGGCTTCTTTTGGATTACACATCAGTCATCTGCCATGAACCCATACTGTGCACAGCTGCTCTTCTAAGCATCTGTCCTCTTCCATGGATCAATCATTTCCCTTTCTCTTGGTCCATGCTGGAGCCAAATCAGTCCCATTTGCATTCCTCTAACTACCAGGAGAGTAAGGTAATTGAGGTGGCAGCCCAAGAGAGCAAATACCACCCTCTGCTATCAGCTCCTGACTCCTGGGCTAATGCAAACTCATAACGCAAACTGCAATTTGATTGACTTTTCCTTCCCAACCTCTCCTCCAGGCAATCCAGCTTCTCTGAAAAACCAACTTGGTTGGCTTCAAACCTTTCCTCATTGAAATACACACCCAAAGCCATATTTCTTGGAGGAGCAGTGGAAGATGCTTTGGATGTTCTCCAGCCCATAAGTGTTCTCCTTCTACCCCTGGTCTACAGTAAATCATGGTGCAGACTTGCCACAACCTGAGTCTTTCTCATGTTAAGAACAGTCCTCAACAGTGCACAGAAATCAGTCCTTTGCTCCCAGATGTGTCTGCTGATCCTACCTAATTATCTGAACCCCAATACCTATGGTCTTCAGAGGGTCATGTCACTCTATAAGCAGACAAATAGCTGCACAGTCTTGGTTACTTTGTCTTTAATTTCTGTAGCCATATATTAAACAGTAATAACTTAGTAATTTTCTCTCACAAGGTGAATGTGAAGATATACTGAGAATGGCTGGCATAGACAAGCTCATAATTACTTTAATAATTCCTCCGCTGGATACAAAATATAAGGGACAGAGCTGGAAACTGAAGGTAGTGAAAGGTCCTTTCTGTGTTCGGGGTGAGATGTGCTCTATGGAAAACTATAATCCATGATCCCTTCAATAGGTTGCCTGTTAACACACCATAAGGGCCAATCTATACTCACACACAAAATCTTAATTTGGGTATTTGCAGACTTGTGATTGTCAACAGTGTCACCAAATTTGTTATTTCAATATTGTTCCTTGGATAAATACTGTAGAATGAGACAGGCATTAAAATAGCCTCAATAACTCCACAAGACACACTGAAAAAAAAAAAAAAGATTTTTTTTTTTTTTTAAAAGACTGGTTCAAATTAAATACACCTGTTTCATCTCCAGTATTTATACAAAAAGCTTGGCTGTTGAGCTACCACAAGTCCCAAAGCAGCAGGTGCAAGGGTACATCACAGACCCAAAGGTAGCTCCCTCTTCCCTGTCCTTTCTCCACCTTCCAAGCAAGGTCAAACTTCCTCCATTGGGCTCACCTCCCAGCAGGGATTTTGGGGAACTGAGACTCCTGTACAACTTACCAAGCTGGAAATACAACGAGATATCAGGAGCCAGAATTGCCCAGAGGGACTTCCATCACCTTTTGGCTGCTAGGGAAGGCTTTCCAGGGAAAAGAGATTTCTTATTTGAGGTGCAGGTCAATATAACACACAGCATTAAAATGAGTCAAAAGTAAGTATTTTCCTGTATGATATACACAGAATATAAGGAGAGCTCTGATAGTCCCTGGGTTTCAGTACAGCTCAACATGAAGCAATTAGTTTAGACCACTAGTGCTCTGTTTGCAAAAACCTGCTAACTTTCCCATTAAGGAGGAAAAGTCTCTGTGGGCAAATTACATTCATTTCCCAAAGCTATTCTTTGGGGGTGGGGGGGGTGGAATCCATTTATGGATAAATTCAAACAGCGTGTCTTTTCCTTTCTACACATCCCTATTTATACTACCAGCAGGTGACCGGTTTGCTGGGAAACACTGGAGGAGCGCAGTGACAACTTCCAGACACAGATCAGACATCGCAACAGGGTCAGTGCCAGAAACAGTTAAGTAAGATAATTTCTAATGATCACACATTGCTCGATTTAGGATTTATATCACCACCTAGCACACCAAACAGGTTGTCAAAGCTACCTCCTTACCTCCTGCAGAAACTTCTCACTCATCGGACCAAAGTGATGACCTGTGGGTCTAATTCCTGACACCACCAGCCCTGAACTGAAGAGTCTTGGCTTCTGGAGGTCGGGCTTAAATTTGTCATACAGGATGTTGGGGGGCTTTGCCTCCTCTCCGTTGGATGCCTTCTGCTCCGCAGAGATGGGCAAGCCACACGCAGGGGTACCGAAGGGCAGACCCGGGGGCGCAAATGAAGGGTCGAGCTGCTCTATCGAACGAGGGTTTCGTCTAATGTATGTGATGATTTTAGGTCTCACAGGTTTGGGCCTAGGTATTGCAGGTTTAATCTCAATGCTTTCTTCCAGCTTTTCACTGCAGTCACTGTCCACATCTGCCTTATCTGCAAGGGAGCCCTTGGAGTGGACCAGGATAGGTTTTGGGATGGCACTGGTGCAAGCAGTCTTGATAGGCACTTTAGGGGATATGTTTAACAACTGCGTACTGTCAATGGGAGGTAGGACTGAGGAGGGTGACAGTTTGGCAACATGAAGTGCATAAAGGTCCTTTAAATTACTGTTTGATAGCGTGGGTTGACTATTGACATCCAGCGTTGACACCGGGTGCACAGGAGTTGAGACACATAAAAAGGCATCAGCCTTTGCAGAAACTTTACAGCTCCCTGGTGCTTCATCTGGAGGATGTTTCTGTGCATGAGCTGTCTTTTTACTTGGAACTGAAAAACTCAAGGTTTCCGCATCATTGTCGTTGTTGTCAGGTTCCTGGTTTGACACTGTCTCTTCACGGCATGCTCTGTGCTGATCTGAGAGATCAGAAGCAGGCACAGCAGCATCCTCAGTGCTTCCTTTGACTAGCATCAGTTTATTCTCATTAGCTTTCAAGGGTTTGCTGTCAGGTAGATTAATGTTATGTGTAAGAGATATCTGTTCACCAACTGTTTCAGTGCAACCCGTGTCAGCTCCATGTAAATTTTCATTTTTTCCAGGTGTCGCTTTGTCACTGGATTTACTACTGCAAGTGAGTGGGAATATTGTTTCCACTTCTTTGTCAGTAAAGTATTCCTCAGCAACCTGGTTAGTTGCCCTGTTGTCACTGTCATTGCTTCCTCCCCCTTCCCCACCGATGGTGATGTTATCACTTAGCAATTTATCATTACGATAGGTTACCACCTGGCTTGACAATGGATCCTCTACTTTATTACAAGTGTCTTGAAAATGGGATGCTTGAAATTTTGATGCATCAGACAAAGAGCCTTTCTGTTCCTGCATTGCTGTATTTTCATCTTTTTGACATCCCGTGAACTCTACCAGCATAATTCTCTCAATCTTTTGTTGACACGTGTTTTTAGATTGTAGAGATGGTGCAGTCTTAAGCTCCAATTTTTTACTTTTATCACCCTGACCTAATTGTGCTTCTGATTTACTAGCAATCTCATTGGGCTTAACAGCTGAATGTTGAGAATGAGAAGTATGCAATGTGCTTTCAATGTTAACATTTGGTACATTTTCTGGTTTACTTATTTTCTTGTTCCCTGAGGTAGATGGTTTGGAATAAAATACAGTATTTTCCTCTGAGGTATTGTCAAGTGGATGAAACACCATCCCAAGAAAATGATCCGTGGATGTTTTTTGTGATTTCTCTGTATTTCCTATCAGATGGTGTGACCTGTCGATGGAGTCCAATGATGCAGAAAGCAGACGTTTACATGACACGCGGCCAACGCAGTCTTTTGCAAATGTTTCAGATTGAGGAGAGAATTTACTTGGTCTTCCTAGAGAAAGCCTTTTTATTCTCTCCATCTCCACAGTCCTGGACATTTTACCCTTAGAAAAGTTCTGAGTGACGTCAACGTCACCTTTGGAAATAACCTCCAGGTTGGCATCATTTGTGCTACTTTTTAAATTGGACAGACTTTGTCCTCGGCTAATCCTGATATGCCTTGATATATCCTTAGCTTCGCTGGTCCTACAATCTTTCCCCACTTCCCTGCTTGTGGTGGAGGGCAGATTACTTTCCTGCACACTGGTGTGACAGGTCCGAGAGTCTCTGAAGGTCAGAAGTTTATTCTGCTCTGTATTCAAATGAGTAACTTTCTCTGATCCTCCAGAGTGTATATTCCCACTCTCATCTGTCAAATCACGTTTTTTAACATCTCTTTCAGTGGTTCTAACTTTTGTCACGATTTGGTTGGCATTGGTATCCCCCACACTCACTATGCTTTCATTATTATTTTTTATTTCGCTGTGGTTGTCCTGAAGCTGGGCATAACATGACTTGTTTGGGATTAACGGAGCACTCATTTTGAAGCTTCAGGTGACTGCTTTATTGGCAGTCCTAATTAATGAGAAAGCGCTTTTTTCCCTATCAGATTAACTATTATGCATGCTTCGGTTATACATTTAAATTATAAACTGATCAGTAGAAAATTCCTCGTCAGAAAGCTTGGAGTCTCTTGTCAGAGTCACATTTTTGTGCTGCTCAGTTGTCTTTCATACAGCTTTTGGACCTAGGAAATCTTTATGATGTGCAGTAGAGAGGTTCAACGAAAGCAAAATAGATCAAGTTCCTTCCGAATGAGAGCCAGTTAATCCAGCCAGCCTACAAGAAAGAAAACAAAACAAAACCAGACTTTACACTGATGTAAGGTAAACATGCTAACTAAACCACAGTTAAAATCAACAGCACTCCCAGGTACATCCCCAGGATACAGCGCTTTCAAACACTTTAGATGCTGTTTCAATCACAGCTTTGCTCCCAGCAAAGGTGCTTAGTGTAGCATAGATCTTTGACTTGAGAAGTTACACAGTTAAAACTGCCATGGTTAGAAGAGTGGTTGCTACTGTTTTTAAGCCACATAGATTTACAACTGAAAGTAGGCATAAAAAGCTAGGTGAGGATGGGACTCCACACCAAGAGTCTAAGCACCTTCATATTGCTATAACAATGTCTTTATTACACCAAGGGTGGCTACTATTGCACTTAAAGCACCACTGTATAGACAAGCCATAAGTGATAAAATTCCAGCTCCATTAGGGGACATTTACGGGTTTCTCTCCTTGCCTTGTACAAATCACGGCCATACTTGTGCTGACACCCCATCCTCACTGACATTTCTTAGCCAGATCTATAGATGCCAAGAAAGCAAAACTATGGCTGGAGGCCTGCAAAGAAAAACTGGGTTTTTCTGAGACAGCTGCATATTTGTATGTTCAAATATCAAGGATTATTGGTTCCCTCCCACCTGTGGCTTTGAGAACACAGATTTTGTCCTCTATCACCTCCAGCAGAAGGAAGGGGAAATTTCTGTTTGTGCTGTGCCTAAATTCACTGAGATATTTCTTGTACCCTGTATGTTCATACCCTTCATCATAAAGAAATATGGACACTGGAAATTGGAACATGCTCCATAGTGCCCAGAAGGTAGCATTTAAAGCACCTGCAATGCTCCCAGCTACGCTGGGTTTCAAATCAGAGGTTCACAGAGGCACTAATTAGAAGTGCTGATTAAGTCCACTGCTCTTTCTACAGCATCTGGGTGTAAGTCTGAGCTTCTGTTTCTAACACCCTCTATGAGCAGGTGCTCCCAGCCTTTGCATTCAGTTCAGCTCTGCTTGCAACATCTGGCTCTGAGCTCAATCCAGTTTCTTTATACAGCACACACATATGTTGGTTGAGTCTGGATTCAGGCTCCTGGCGTAGTTCCAGCTCTTCAGCAAACAATAATTCATTAAACAGAACACAGTATTAAATTACGAATTTCACTTCAACACCACAGAATTGTGTTACTATAGATCTCATTCGTAAAGCACTGTAAAGCAAGACTTTTCAACTACTGCATTCTGTCCTTATTCACAGAGGGAAAGAAATTAATACCTATTAAATTAAATATATGCATTATGAAGTTTTTTGGTTCATTTCTCATTGTTTTGTTTGTTGTTTTTTTCCAAAAAAAACCCCAAAATTTAGATATTCAACCTGAAAGCTGAACTCTAAATGTTCTTCACTGGGCAAAGCATGTCTGTTACCTGTTTGATTACCTAGGAGGAGGCACTGAAGGGCTCCAGAGGGAGCTGAGGCCAGTCAGCTCATATTTCTCCCTCAGCTGGCAACTGGCAACCCTCTGTGGCACCAAAAGTGAGGGCCACAAAAACAATCAGAGGCTGGAACACCTCTTCTATGAAGAAAGGCAAATTTAATAGAAAATGCAGTGAGGAAAGCTTTGGGGAACTGAGAAAAAGATGGGGGAACTCATCCACTTTTTCTTGTACTACCTTGTATTCTCTCATCAAAAGTGTCACCCAGTGGCCAAAAAACTTTAACAGATTGTGGTGGGTTGGCCATGGCTGGCTGCCAGATGCCCACCCAGCTGCTCTCTTATTCACTCTCCCTCCTCAAGAGGATAGGGGAAGAAAACAAGATGAAAAAACTCGTAAGTTGAGATGAAGACTCGAAGATCATTTACTGAGTACCATCACAGGCAAAACAGACTTGACTTGGGGAAAATGAATTCAATTTGTTGCCAATTAGAACAGAGTTGGGTGGTGAGGAACAAAGCCAAAAAAAAATACCTTCCCTCACCCACCCCCTTTTTTTCTCAAGCTCAACTTCACTACTTCATTCACAGCTCCTCCATCCCACCAGTTGCTCCTTCCCTATCTTGTGTCCCCAGAGACACTGAACCTCTGGATGCTATGGCAGTATATATAAATAAATTGGTAAATGATGATGATGATGTCCATTAAACTCTAAGTACCGTATCAGGCTGCATGCATTTCAAATGTACAAATAGAGCAATACATTAATTTGCCACTTATTTTCTTCTCTTAATCTCTTACATGGGTTTAGAACAAAGTTAATTACTACATTTAAGATTATGAACATGGTGCTAAGAGGCCGTTGGTTCCCCTTGTTTACACTGTCCCCAGTATAAATAGTAGCACTGCAAATGAAGATAGTTCAAAAAAACCCATCATGGAAATACCTGTATTCACTCAAAGCATCTTCACAAACAGTGTGTGAGACAGGCCATGCTGGTATGCTTCAGACCAGACCAAATAATTTGGTTTATTGTTGCTGGTACAAACTGATCAATATGAGGGCCAGGAAATACCTGTTCACTCTCAAATACAGGGCATTGCACAACCTCGGTATGCTGCCAGCTGAGATTAACCTCTTCAAGCAGTCACTGCCGGCCAGAGACATGGACTTCAAATGTATGTGTAATTACACTGCTTTTAAGAGAAGGCACAATAAAATACTGTCTAGGCAGGGATCAATCTCAAGCAGTGTTAGCACTGCTCCTGTGCTTCCTCCAGAGTCAATGAGGGAGGGGTACCTTGGAAAGGTGTTTCATCCTGTGCTAATACCTTCCAGGATGGACCCTATCCACCCAGTCTTCCAAGTCCATCTCCCCTGGTGACATCCTGGTGTGTTCAGTTTTGGGCCCCCCATTACAGGAAAGACATTGAAGTGCTGGAACATGTCCAAAGGAGGGCAGCAAAGCTAGTGAAGGGTCTGGAGCACAAGTCTTATGAAAGAGAGGCTGAGGGAACTGGGGTTATTTAGTCTGGAGAAAAGGAGGCTGAGGGGAGACTTTCTTGGTCTTTACAACTGCCCAAAAGGAGGTTGTAGCCAGGTGGCTGTTGGTCTCTTCTCCCAAGTAATAAGTAATAGGATGAGAGGAAACGGCCTCAAGTTGTGCCAGGGGAAGTTTAGATTGGATATTAGGAAAAATTTCTTTACCCAAAGAGTTGTCAAGCATTGGAACAGGCTGCCCAGGGAAGTGGTTGAGTCACCGTCCCTGGAGGTATTTGAAAGACATGGAGATGTGGCACTTAGGGACATGGTTTAGAGTTGGACTTGGCAGTGATAGATTTATGGTTGAACCTGGTGATCTTAAAGGTCTTTTCTAACAAAAATGATTTTCTGATTCTATCCAGTCGGGACATGGTTTAGAGTTGGACTTGGCAGTGCTAGATTTGTGGTTGAACCTGATTATCTTAAAGGTCTTTTCTAACCAAAATGATTCTATGATTCTATCCAGTTTCATATTGAGAATGTCATAGGCTTGAAGAACCCATTACATCCTTACAGTTACCATTCATACAATTACCTAAAAATATTTTATTTGTTTGCAAAATATTGCCTGTTTAACTTTGTAATTTTACTTCTTTTTTTAAAGTTGCCATCACAATTAACATACAGGATCATTATTTGACATTTGAAAATAATGTAAGATGTCATTCTGTTATAGAACACACTGACAGCTCAGGACTCCTGCTAAATTAATATAAAAATATAATCAAGCATCTATGTCAATTAACACCTTATTAATCCAATTTTCCCTGTTAAGGAATACAAGCTTTTGGGTTTGGTTCAATCAATGTAATAAAGACTTACATACTGTGACAGGCATATTTGAGGGTAAGATGTCTGGGTCTGTGTAACTTTTGGGACCTTAGAAGATTTGTTCTCCTATAGATAGATTCTATTAAGAATCTTTGGCTTGGATTTTCTGCAGGATAGTTTATGTGGCACAGTCTAGGTTCAGGTTCAATTTACTAGGCTTTTTGGTGTCAGTGAGATTAGAAGACTCAACTGTGCTTGGGTTCTTCCTCTATTTTTTATTGCTCACCTTTCTAGACTGATGTTGGCTGACATACACACACTTAAAGTCACTCCCTGTTGTGCAGAGGCTCTGAGATGACAGAGATGTGAACCTCCTAACTCTTCAGATGCCCTCTTTAGTGCAGGAGCACGGGGTAAGATGAGACTCAATCCCACCTCATCACTTAGCAACATCTCACTGGGGACCCTGGACAAGAAACATGACTGCACGTCCTACAAGACTGGACTCGGTATATGTAAACCCTGACATGGGTAAACATTTCTTGATACTGTATAGTGTAAAAAAGTCCCTTCTGAATTGCTGAGAGTGGAAAATGTCACAGTTCTCCATGTCACAGCATCTTGGCAGGATGCAATAAATGTATTTGTGAAAAAACCTTTACAAAGTGACGTGAACATGCTAGATGGTAGAACAAAATTACATTCACCAGACTATGGTTAGCTATGAATCCCACAGGGAGAAGAAAAGTTCAAGAAGCCAGAAAGATAATTAAACAGCTAAGTTCAGTTGTATCAACTTCCTTCCAAGATCTCTGTCTTTTCAAAGCCTCTATTCTAAACCTGAGCCCATTTAATGATGTTCTAGGACAGAAGTCTACAAGAGTTTCTTCCCATCTGCTGTTGCAGTTCCTCCCCTTCACTCTGCTCCATCCTAAGCTGTGTTTAGCCAGCA